ACAGACCGCGTAAATTTCCGCAACTAGCTGCCTGCAAAGCAGTTGGTTGCGATCTTTTAATTCTTATAACCGTTTACACTGCAGAAAGCAGGGGGGCTATGTTGCGCTTTTTGCACTCCCAGGAGACTAGGGAGAAGGAAGTGACGTCAACAACGCAGCAAATGCAGATTGGATATTGATTTTGTTTTCTTCAGTCAGCATTCAATCTGCGTTTGCTCTAGTCGTTGACGTCAGTTCCTTCTTCCAAGTCTCCTGGGAGTGCAAAAAGCGCAACATAGCACCCCTGATGATGCTGTCCGAGCAGAAACATGGCATTATGCGTGGACCACTGAAAGGGTACGGCATAAAACTAGTATGTTGGAATATCCAGCAAAACTTTTCGTGGGACTTTCGATTTCGATCGTCATTACAGGTGGGTCAGATAATACTATTAGCTAGCTTGGCGAGCGCGTCGAGAACGAGAGCTTTCGCGAACAAAATACGAGGGGGCAAGTTAGCTGACGTAGGTAAATGCTAAACATGATGATGTTGCCCAAGCCTCGGGTAGTGTGATTATGTTTAGCTTTCTCTGATGCTTATTGGGCAGGCAAAGGTTTCTGCTGGGGGAGTTTTGTCGACAAATGTTCAATTTTTCACCCGCACACGGATGGTGATAAACATCTAGGGGCGCCGCTGATGCGTTTGTTCTGAGCATTTCTTTACACGGTGGTATATTTCAGCGTGTGTATGGCAACAGAGCGACTTAAAACCTGCAAATAAAGCACAGTTTGTGAATTGCTTCCTTCATGAAACAGCAGACGCTCACAATTCAAGCTCGCGTTTGATTCCGTATCCCGCGGGACGCGATTTCTATAAGAAAATCTACTTTTTTTTTCTTCCTTTCTGTTCCGCGACACATCGTAACAGACGAACCCTCGTCGTCTGCTCCCGCTCCTCGCTGGCCTCGCCGGAGCGAGGCATGACGGGAGTGCATTTTGGCGCACTCTTGATTTTCCCGGTGCAGCGAGTGCATGCACGCGTGGGGTGTCAGCGATGAAACGAACTCGGAGAGTGCAACCACTTGTGGAGTGCCGGCCGAAACGAACCCGCTCCACGCTGCGAGTGGGCACGCGTGGGCACGAGTGCCGTGAAACGAACCCGCTATTAGTTTGGCTCTTCAAAACAGCAAACTGTCTGAGTAGCTAGTGCCACTTCCTTTCTTTTGTTCGATGTAGATAAGAGAATTACAAAATTTCGGTTTCGTGTTTTATTAAAAAATATTTCCCACGTTTTACATGTGTTTAAATTCTGGTTTCTCTTTTTCCCTAGCTGTCATGCTTTTTCCCACAATATGGGAAATTTCCCACGATTCAGCAACACTGCTCGGACGTCGTTGGAGCGGAGCCCATGTTTATAGAGTTCACCGCGTCGCCACGGGATGGCGCCACAGCCCAAGCAACCAAAGATCGCCGGTGTTGTGCGGGAGGGCGTGTGTATCACTGGTGCGCGGCCCCGCCTCCATGCAGTCAACGGGTTCATAGCTTTCGCTGTTATATCACGCAACCCTTCGTCTTTCCAAGCAGCACAAATAGTATGGTCCAAATTGGAAACAGGAACAGTGGATTTTGTGTTGGTCTAGAAGAAAAATGACCCTTTTTCCCGAACGAACCTTGACCGCATAAAAATTTCAAAGAAACTGGATTGTTATCTCCCTAAGACCCCTAACCCTGTTTGTACCGAACTTCGAGGTTATGTAGAATGCTATGTTTATGTTTCAGAGCGCAGCTCTTAGGCGCCCGCTTCCGGCTTGAGTGACGTCGCCGTCGGCATAACTGCGCGTTGCATTATTAAAATGTTTCCATAATGACGTCACACGTGACGTCGCGTGTGACGTCACGAGGGTTAGCCTCACGAGGGTCACAAGGGTACCTTACAAGAGTCACGAGGGTTACCTTCACGTGGGTCACAAAAGTTACCCTCACGGGGTCACGAGGCTTACCCTCACGAGGGTCACGAGGGTTACCCTCGCAAGAGTTACGAAGGTTACGCTCTGGAGGGTCATGAGGGTTAGCCTCGCGAGGGTCAATGGGCTACCCTCGGAAGAGTTACCGTCACAAGAGTTACCCTCATGACGTCACACGTGCCGTCACGTGTGACTTCATTATGGGGAAGACGGGACGTATGACGTCACATGTGATGTCGCGTGAAGTCACACGCATCTAACATTGCCAATATTCCAGCTAAATATAGTGGGGAAAGTTTTCCGCTAAATTTCGCGGGAAACATTTCCGTTAAATTTACTCTAGTGTCGTCACGTGTGACATCTCCGAGGGTAAAATTCTCCTGCTAAATTTAGCGGAAAATCTTCCCCGCTAAATTTAGCGGGGAAGGAAGAGGGGCATACCCTCCCTTCCGTACCATCTCCTCCTCAAGAGCTGCACTCTAATTCGGCGTTACAGAAAATTGTCAACGTCTTTAATTTTTTGTTGTTTCTTTTCTTGCCAATCGTGATTTTGTAATTCTGAGTTCTTCGAATATTTCCCAATCTACAAAAAATTTATTGCCGAGTATCTTTCGGATTTCGAAAACAAACACTGAACACTGCTCATGATGGACAGGAGGTGGCGTCTGTATTTTTCATGTATGGAGTGAAGTGTAATGGAAGGAAACGTAGCCGCAAAATGCTCAAAATGTAAGCTTGGGCGTGTTGGTAAGGCATGTTCATTAAAACGTACAGAGCACAAAGAGATGACACAAGGAAGAGGACGCACAATCGCTGAACTTACAACCGAACTTTAATCGTCAAGGCGCAACTTTATATTCGAGGACCAACCATGAAAGCGCACACACACATTCAATGACACACCAATAGATTCCGGCAACCTTATTACGGTCGCTGCCGTCGTGCAAACATTAAAACTCTTTACCACATAACAAAATAGATCGGGTGCTTACACAATCTTCCTTTAGGTGCGCAGCCATCCCCGCGTCGACGATTTCTCCAGTCAGGGCATTGCCGCCTCTTCCGAGGACTGAACCTTTCCCAAAATCACCAGCCCACCCACAATAGCGACAGTCACCCTATTTACATTGTAATAAGGTGCCCTCAATATGTCGTTCAGGCTTCTTTCAGTTAGCCGTATACGTACTGTTTACCATAGGAAAGCGGAATTTAATGTACAGATTTTTCTTGTGCATTAAACGAACCGATTTTTGTGCTTCCTAGTAGAGCCCAGAGATCCACCCTGCTGTATAATTGAAGTTTTTACAAAGCTTATGGTGAATTCCGCTCGCAGATCTCGAGCGCTCCAAAAGCGCTCCATTTGGAGCGCGCATATTCCGCTCGCATATCTGGCTCAAGTTGGCCATCTTCCGCTCGTAGATCTCTGGCAGCGCCCGCTCCACGGAGCGCCCCAAACTCCGCCGAACTTGCTCTGCGGGATTTCACGGATCTCCCCGGAGGTTGACAGAGCGGCCCACGGGATTTCCGTCTAAATCGGCAGTGCGCATGCGCGGCGAGGTTGGAGAGATTGGCGGGCCGGTCGGGCGGTCGGGTCGTGGAGTTGGTTCTGTTCAGGTGCGTCGGTTGTTTACTCTGGATTGTGACGGCTCGAACGCTTCTACCTCGCGTAGATCAGGGATAAAAAGCCGGGAATGTGGAGTGTGGCAAATCGTAAGCGCTGACATCTGTGATCGTGAAAGGAAGAACGAGAAAAAGAACGACAGAAAAGCCGGAGGCAGACGCAAGGTTAGGCCTATTCATTCTGCAGCAAGTGATTGTTTACCTTTTTTCACTGCATTCCGTCTTCGTTTTCCCGTGAAATAAAGCAAGAAGTAGTTGGGCAACGACCGCGTAAGTGATGGTTTGTTACCTCTGGGTTTATTAAAGTCGTACTACAAATCTGAACTCCACCGCTGGCAATCGCTGTCCGTGCCCCGCCGCCTCGAGGCGGCCGAAAGGTATGTGACGGTGCCGAACGCGGACGTCTTCGTTATTTGTGACATGGGCGCCGTGGTACGTATAATTTCGCCCGGCCTGTGTCGCGTGTTACTTCTGCAGCTAAGCAGTGACAGTCGTCACTGGTCGTCGGAAAGATCAGCCGGCTGAGGCGTTGGTGGGCTAATCAAGTTCGAGCACCGGCCATTTTGTACGGCGGAGGGAGAAGGGGTGGGGAGGGGTGTGGGGAGGTCGCTCCAAAAATGCAAGTTTATCTTCCCCTCGTCGATTCGGAACGGCCGGTTCCCACGGAGCGGAATTTTGCCTCCCTCGAGGATTTTGGAAAGCGCTCCAGATCTACGAGTGGAATTCACCATTAGACACTCTGTTAGGGGCAGAAAAGAAAACAATAACATCTACCCTCTTTACTATTTTTTCAAGTCATGACAATTTTTATGTAAATACGGTACAACAGCAAAGTTTGCTTCTTTCTTCTTTGGGAACGTCTATCACATTTACAGCGCCTTATATTTTAATGTTCTTCAATAAACTGCCCGCAACCGAGATCAGAAGATGTTCCGGCTACTCCGCCATCCGAAGACGGAAAATTTGAGCGTCAACTGACCTGTGCTAAATGGGAACAAGACTTATTGAAAACATTTGCAAAGGTCAAGGTCATGATGCCCTTTTTACTAGAGACAGAGAGAAATAGGCGTTTATTAAAACAGTGATGTCCCCTTTTTTACAGCGGAGCAGTTAAGGGCTAGTTTTTCCAGGATCGCGTCGGGTACCAAATGTCGACACAACACTCTGATTGCCGCCGTCGCTCATAGATGGCGGTAGCTGTCCACAGTGTTGCGTTTGCCGGTCGTCTGCTTGCCGCCGTCGCTCATAGATCACGGCAACCTTTCCAGCCTTTTCACTCTGGCTTGTCGACTTGCGGACGGCCATTACTTCATTCCATCCCTAGTACAGCTTCGCTGGTCTTCATTCTTCACCAGAGTGGAAAGGCTGAAAGTTTTTACTAATTTGGAATGGGCAGATTGGTAAGCTAAAAGCGGAAAGTATCACAATAAGCGTCACATCAACATCGGATTCTTTAATACAGATAAATAAAAACCTAATCTTAAACCAGCCTACGTATTAATTGTGCAGCTCATTTTGGGGGATATAGTATACAAGCATCTTACCAGACGACATTTAGCATCATGGCAGAACAGCTAGGCATTTCTGACCCTCGGTATCACGTTCCTGGTAATATTCATATGCAAATCAAAAAGATACGAAGTTGAACCATTTTTTTTGTATGTTATATCAATGAAGTGTAACTAGCGAACTTAAGAAAGGCCGTCATAACATCCCTTAAAGCTTCCGAGCTAAAATGACAAACCCCTGTTGCCAACAATACCTGTCCTTGGCTTGTAACGCGTCTTGCTCCATCGAAGTGCAACGCTCTATCTCGAATTCACACCGGGTGATTGCCTTTTTCGCTAGATCCACGGATGCGGCAAGAACGGGAAAGGTGACTCCCTTGACCACATAGTCATCAGATCCGCAAATACCACAGACGATCAGATACCCTCCACTTGTGACCAGATTGGCGAGGTTTTGAACGGCTTTCTTATACGTTCCCTCATCCAGGCAGGCACTCTCCAAACAGAGGCATGTGAGGACCACGTCGAATGGTTCCTTATGCTCTTCTGGGAGCACCTGAGGATCCAAGACATTGCAGAAAACAACCTTCCTGATGGCCCTACGTGTCCTTTCTTCGATCTCCCTCGCTCCGCTCTTCGCGTCTCTGCAACGTGGATGAAAAGGATTATCATCAGCGGGCCTCATACACGCCAGCACAGTTTTTGCAAACAGGTTGGCGTTTGACCACACCATGTGTGGGCACTGCACACGCGCATAAATCAGATTCACGTGAGTTGAAGCGTCTGTGCAGGCACCGTGCCGACAGCAGCGCCACCGCAGGGGCGTGACGTCGGAGCCGCGCGCTGGTCTATGTGTTTAACATGATAGAAATAACGGCTACAAAAAGGAGGCACAAAATAAACGAGGACCCTGAAAGGAAGTTGGCGACAGAACCAAACCTAGTCTTTGCGAAAGCATTTACTGTTCCTTGGAACGAACCAACGTCATCCGCCGCGCCAAGCGGCAGATAACTTTCCGAAGCCCCGATCTGAGGCATCCCAACTTTAAAACCACGCAAAAAGCCACGCAAAAAGGCAGTGGTATGAAGCCGACAAGCGCCAGTTTCAATTAGCGCCACCCCATGGCGCCGCGTACCCACGGCGGAGCAGAAACGGCCGAGGAACCAAACTGATCCTGTCGGCGCCTCGGCCGTGTCTGTTACGGCGCGGGCACGCAGCGCCGAGGGGATCTGAAGCAGCCGCGGCGCGAAGAACGACATTCATGCTTTCACATTCACAACTCGTAAGAAGTGTTTATGCGTACCTCGAGTCTATTTTTTTTTGTTTTTTTTTTTTGTAGCTGCTATTCCCATTATGTGGAACTCCTACCAACTCGCCCAGTTCAACACTCTGGTCTATATGTTTCCGCATCAGGATGAAGTTTGCATGCATCTTGCTTATCTCTCTTTCCTGCTAAGCCGGAAACGAAAAAAATATTTGTGATTGAGGAAGCGTACTTGTAATTCCGTAATACATAAGTTCAGGATACAAAAAGAAGAGAAAAAAGTGTAATAATACCAGAGAGTTGTTAGTCAGCGTCGCGTAAGTGTCTCTTTCTATTTGGTGTGTGGACTTGAGTGACTGTTTTGTGGCTGCGCTGTTCCCCCTGTACGTCATGAGAAACCAACTTGCCCGACCCTCCGCGTTACTTAACTACATTGTATTCAATGCTAAGTGGACAGGGCGGAAGAAGCTACATACCCACGGATCAATAGACCCTTTCCGAAAGTCAGTCTACCCACCTTGTACAGAGCCAGACCCGACGCTCTAATGGCGGAGCTACACTGTTTCTCCACACCAGAACAATCGAACGTCCTCGAAAGCATAGAGCAGAAGAAGGCAAAGATGTTGGTCACTTCACGTCACCTTCGATGCACAAAATCGAGGGTGCTTGATTTAGCCGCTCATGATCTCCTATCACCGCCATTAGAGCGGCAATATTGGAGCTTTTTGGACTGCCACAAGAGGACTCTGACTTTTGAAGAGGGTCTATTATTCGCCTACCCTTCATCGCCCAACACGGTTCTTCCTAAAAAAAAAACAAAAAAAAACCATTCTCACCAGTGTGATCCCGTGGTACAAGGCAGGGAATTGACTCCTATCAGTGCCAAGCTTCCACCGCCCTGACAGAGTATACTCTTTGTCACATCAAAAAAAAAAAAGAAAAAAAAGAAAAAAAAAGAAGTTTCGCGCCTCATTGTCACGCCGTGCTAAGTAGTTCTCACAAGATTTCGTTATCGACGGAAGAAACGACGCATCTGAGGCTTGAAACGTGTACGTCTTATTAAAATAGCATAAAACTAATCCAAGGTGCACATTCCTATATCCTAATTCGACACTGTGAGAAGGAAAGCAGTGATGTTCCGCAAGAAGCAGGACTTTTTTTAAAATTATTATTACGGTTTTTGAGGTAAATATTCCCGAATGCAAAACGGTTTTTAGATACATTAATCGCTGTACCTTTTGACACGCAGAACGTTAAACTTTTGAAAACTTTTCGAATACAGCGTGGTCCGTGGACTATGAAATGAACGATAAAAAAAACGAAAGACGTTTACAATCCCCCGTAACGCCGAATTAGAGCGCAGCTCTTGAGGAGGAGGAGAGAAGGGTACTGAGGGGAGGGTAGACCCCTCCTCCCTTTTCCTCATTTCTTCATCCTGCCTGCTACTCCTCCCTGTGAGAGGTGTCGCCGTCGCCGTCGCCGTAGCCGTGAGGCCACGTGACCCTCGTGGCCTCACGGGGGTCACGTGACCTCACGGGGGTCACGTGACCTCACGGTGTCACGTGACGTCACCAGGGTCACGTGACCTCACGGGGGTCACGTGACCTGACGGAGGTCACGTGACCTCACGGTTACGCCGACGGCGACGGAGACGCCGCTCGAGCCGGAAATGGGCGCCTAAAGCACCGTCTTTATATATGCCACCGAGTACCAGACCGGTTTTTAAGCCTCTTGTGACGTCTTATCGTATGCGCTGCAGCGGAGCAGGTCCTAAGACTTCGCAAGAGGCTTAAAAACCGGTCTGGTCTCTCTCGGTCTTACTCGGCTGCATATGTGTGAACGGCGCGTAAGAGTTGCGCTCTAAAAATGAAAGACGTTTACAATCCCCCGTTACGCCGAATTAGAGCTCTTGAGGAGGAGGAGGTGAAGGTACGGAGAAGAGGGCATGCCACTCCTCTTCATCCGTACCATCCTGTCCTCCTCTCCTGCTCCCCTCCCATTTAGCAGGAAACTTTTACCGCTTAATTTCACATCGGAAAATTTTCCGCTAAATTTAGCGCAGAAATTTTTTCGATACATTCAGCGGGGCATTTTTCCCGCTAAACGTAGTTGGGCATTTTTCCCGCTAAATTTAGTGGCGAGCTTTTTTCCGCTAATTTAGCGGCAAAACTTTTCCGAAAACTAGCAACCAATTCTTCCCACTAAATTTGGTGGGGAAAATTTTCCGCTAAATTTGGCGTGGAAATGGTTCTGCTAAATTTAGTGAGGAAAATTTCCGCTAAATTCAGCGGGGACCTTTTTTCCCCTAACCTCAGCCGGGAATTTTTTTTTCGCTAAATTTAGCGGGAAAATTTTTCCGCTACATTTAGAGGGGAATTTTTTCCGCTAAATTTAGTGGTAAAATTTAGCCATAATGCAACGCGCGATGACGTCGTTATGGGAAACGTTCCATAATGCAACGCGCGGTTGTACCGACGCCGACACCACTCAAGCCGGAAAGGGGCGTCTAAGAGCTGCGCTCTAAAACCATACGTATAATGCATGGTTTAGAGCTGGTGGCGCGTATGGAAATCGCGTTTGATACACGGGTGCTTTATTCAAGGTGAGACGAACATTGCCTTGACCCTGTAGTTATTTTTAAGTTGAATGCGGTTACAATTATCACAAATTGACTTAAATAATTTTTGTGAATCCTACATTAGGCGTTTCGAGTGGCGTACCAACTTGTTTTTGAGTAAGGGGGCAAACGAGACGCCCCCCCCCCCCCCCCCCCCCCCAGGTAGGGTGGCCACCTTCCAGCTAGCGAAATGCGGGACACGCGGGGGGAGGTCGGGGGGAGGGAGGGAGGGGGGAGAGGAAATTCATGAACACGCACACCACGAACCGAGGCTAGCTCTGTTAACACATTTAATATACTGTGCTGTATATGCACCTCCAAATTGTATTGCAGCAATTAGGCTAAAATAATGTTCACTCCAAGCGATATATTTTTTATACCAAATACGTTATTGAATCTGTCGAAGTTTAAAACATAAAAATCAACTGCAGCAGAACTCAATTCATCAAATGAAATTAAGAAACAATAAATATTTTGGGGGTTATTGTTTCCTGTCAACGCTTACTTTTATCAACATGGTCCTCCACAAATTTTTCATATTACGTGTTTGTGAGTTTTTTTCTTTACCGTTGTGAGTTGCAGGTTTTTGCCTTGTGTAACTGTCTTCACAAAAAAAAAAAAATCACAGCAACCTTTCGCATTCACACAGTGATTTGAAAATAATTACAATATTTTATATTTAAACGTATGGCGAGCAATTTTTCTTACAATATGTTGCCACCAAAAGGGGAGGCACAACGGAGCATGGACGTCGGGTCTCCTGCAAGAATGACGGTCGCTTCCCGCAGTTCTCAGAAAATGCCGTACCATTTGCGGTTCACACGATGACCAGCGACCTCCGCGCTTCCCCGTGCCTCATTGTTCGGCAGCACCATGAGTTGCAGAGCTAATTTTACGACACTGTGAAATGCGGGACATTTTGAAGATTTGGGAATTTCCTGCGGGACGCGGGACACGAGCCCTGAATGCGGGACGGGTGGTCACCCTACCCCCCGGCCGGGGGGCGGTGCCCTTGGTATCCCCTGGGCGCCGCCGGCCAGTGTTTGCCCTAACCAATGGCGGCTGTTTTTTTTTTTTTGGGGGGGAGGGGCAGAACAGATGCTTCGCCCCCCACCCTGAAAACTGGGGGGGGGGAGAGGCGCCCCCCTCACCCCCCCTGGTTCAGGGTGGGGGCCGTCCCCCCCCCCCCCCCCAAAAGAAACGCCCATGGGCGTTTCTTTTTGGGAACCTCACATTCCGCAATAATGCGGGACGTGGAATGTTTGTTATGACATGCCCACATATACACCCCCACACTCGCGCTATAGCCTTGAATACAGCACACGTTATGTACCAAACAAAAATAACGGACATCAAAGATGGTTTATAGAAGGCGCTTATATACAGTTTTTTTTTTTATTCTTACACATTTGTTTAAAAAAAAAACGTGAAAGCTACACTAATGCGGTTTGCGCAGGTGGGTTATACGGCCAGGCGGACATTATGTGGGTGGCTAATCTTTGGGACAAGTCGGCTAATTAATTAAAATTCGTTAATTAACTTTTTTATTAGTGGAAATAGACATATGGTTCCAATTAGAAACTTGCTGCGCGTCATCTAAAACCCCTAAATCAGTCATTTTCAGAAAACCATTCAGCGCGCGAGAAGCGTAGTAGCGCACCGAAGTTACCACTCGTGGAGCAGGTACAAGGCTAGCGGTTGCTGTACGGCGCCCGCGCAATGTTTCGGTCTCTTATCTAGCCCCACCCAGCCTTGTACCTGCTCCACGAGTGGTAACTTCAGCGCACTACTGCGCTTCTCACGCGCTCAAAGTCTTTCTAAAAATGACTGATTTAGGGGTTTTGGATGACGCTCAGCAAGTTTCTAATTAACAAATTTCAATTAATTAGCCGACTTGTCCCGAAGATTAGCCACCCTCATAATGTCCGCCTGGCCGTATAACCCACCTGCACAAACCGCTTTAGTGTAGCTTTTACGTTTTTTTTAAAGGAATGAGTAAGAATAAAAAAACACCCTGTATACATAAACAAATAGGTTTAAAGATATGTTTGTCAAAACCAGGAAGAAAAAAAAAGAGTTATTTTTAAACTAATTAAACCATGGTTTTTGTCATTTAATTCAGATTTATTTGATTAAAATTAGATACATTTGATTTAGTTCACTTTAGTTAGAAAATAGGGATTCTTTTTACTGAATATTTCTGACACAGCAGATTGATTGATCAGTGCTGAACAAAAATTATTGTAAATGTAAAACACCGTTTAATTAACAACTTTTAATTGGTGTGATTCATGCCATACCAAAACAAAGGCAGCTTGATTTCTTTTAGTTAGTTCAAAGGGATTATTAGATTTTATTTCGTGCTCTGACTTGTTGAAACGGGTTGTTACTATTATATTTTTCTTTGGCGTTCTCATTGTGTTGCAGTAGGATTCGATTTAGCTGAAGAACAAAGGGGAAAATCGAAATGAAGCTTAAAGTTCGCAATTATTCCGAATAGCAATTATTTTTGCTTTTACCAGTTCTCACCTTATGGCCAGTTGCTTTTGTACGTGCAGTACGAAGGGGACATCCTGTCCGTAAGAATGCCAAACACGTGTGTAGTTAAACAATTTAAAATCACAAAGAGTTCTGCCTTATATAAACCTTTCTTGCTTGATAATTCTTAGATTTCAGTACAAAAGAAATATTCTTAGATTTCAGTACAAAAGAAATATGCATGGAAAAGCTCAAATGATAAACAAGCTGTAGTTAAAAATTGTTCCGCGATAAATTTCGAGAGAAAGTTTTTTTTGTTTCAATCGTGTTGGTAAAGCTGGTCTGATCCAAATCACGATTTACATCATATTAATTTATCCTGGTCAAAACCCAGTAATGATATTAACTGTGTGTCAGTTGACATCCTATGTTAATTTGCTCTATGACACTTTAGAGAGAACCTACAGAACGAGAAAGCCTTCTTACATGTATCCTTCGAGTGTTGCCAAAAGCTCGCTGTGAAAAGACCAGTCTATCGCATCTGGAGCCTTCTGAATCCATTTCTCCACCGCGAGTCTGTTCTGGGGCACAAGGTCGCCGAGCACAACGTCGTCGATCTTTTTTGTGGCCGGGAGGACGTTGCGAGCTGAGGGGCCACACCCGACTTCCAGAAGCTTTCGTCCATAGAATGTTGCTTCAGTAGAACATGAGACAAAAAAAGGAAAGCGGCAACTCAGCAGAAGAAGCGTATAAAATGCGCACTAAAGAGCATGCGCACGCTTGCGCTGACGGACCCCTCATTGTCGAGGTACGATCCACCTTTGCACCTTGAGGGTGCAAAGGTGGATCGTAGGGGGCCAAGTCGGCCTCTATTGGCTTAGATTTAATATATACTTCATTCATTTACTCTTCGTTCACTATATATATATATATATATAATGGGAATGAGTGAAGATTGACAAGTGCAGCCGTAGTAATATTGTGAACGAAGAGGGGAGAAGGTGATTATTGAATTCATTGCATTAAACATAGGGAAAGGGAAAGAGAGCTGGCGAAAAATTGGGCCAGGAGCGGGGATTGAACCCGCAACCTTCGCCTGTCCGGGGCGACGCCTTAACCGATTGGACCATCCCGGCCACTGGTTTCGGCGGACTCAATTTCTGACCAGCTCTGTGTACTGTTTAGTTTCGAATTCGCTTAACTTGGTAGACGACAACCGTTGTTGATTTGCTTGAATGCTCCTTTGACCCTACGCGCACGGTCTCCGGACTCGGTGCTTCGGAGCGTGACTCCGAAGCCCCTGAGCTACGTGCACCGGAAGTGACATTTGGCCGTCCAGTGGAAGGAGTCAGTGACTCGCTGAACTCGGGGCCGCTACTGAACGCGCCCATTGTGAACGTAAAGGGGGAGAGGGTGATTATCTGAAATTATCTAAAATTGGAGCATTCATATTGCACTTGAGTCCGTCGTTTGACTTCTGTTATCTGGAAGTCCAAATGGTTATCCGGCACCGAAAAACAAAAACAAAAAGAAACTTGTCCGAGCTGTTGTTGACTTCCCAATTGCCCCGATTCCTCTCAATGCAGTCAGCACAATTGCCCAGTGTCGCAAAAAAAGAAAAAAAAAAAGAGGTGCGTTTCACATGGTTTGCAATGTTGCAATTCGACATTAGTTATGTACACGTTTGCAGTTGCGGCCTCTGTACGCCGCCCTAGCTGTTTCTGCTGGTGAGGGTAGATCGTTTTATAGCCAAGCATTGCTGAGGCCGTGGGTACGCCTCAGCAATGATTGGCTATCAGACGATCTACCCACATCAGCAAAAAGATAGCGGCGCCCAGAGGCCGTACTTGCAGACGTCTGTAAATACATGGTGTGCAGATCATGAGCTTGACGTAAGCCGTTTGAAAAAACAAATCATAACGTTCACACGCTTAACTTTACCTGTTCTCTCTGATTACTATCTCAATGAAACTCGTATTAAACGTGTGTCGGTACTGTGTTACCTTGGTGTTACGCAGGATGAGAAATTGAATTTTAATAACCATGTAGGTACTAGAATCCTATCACCCTCCTTAAATAGAGTTCGGCATTGTCGCTCGCCTGAGTTTTCTGTTTCGAGATCCGTTTTGGTTGTTTGGCCTCTTTAGAAGCCTTATTCTGCTTAAATTTGATTTCGTGTCAGTTGTCTCGAACAACCTCAGTGTCACTGCTGCGGTATCTTTAGGCAAGTGCAAAAAAGATTCGTAAGAATGTTTTACGCAAGAAAACGCCTACGTACTCTGATCAGAATGTGCTCTTTTTCTGGGGTTTGGCCGATTTTCTAACTAGACGAGGTACGAATAACCTCGTATTTTTGTTCAAGTGTCTGCATAAATTTTATATCAGTACTAGTACTATCACAGTGATCACATATTCGCCATAAATCCCAAGCATTGTTTACCTCTGCTACACTCGTTGTCAGATCAATAAGAAAAAAACTTGTGCGCATTATCTATACGCTACGAAGTAGCACTTACAATATTTGGCTGTCGGAGGAAGAAACTATGTTTTTGGGGGTTTAAACGGGTATGAACTTCTGATGAAACAAAAGCAAGGTAAATACAATTTACCCATATTTATTTTAATTCACCACTTAAAGGAGTAACTCAGCATTGCTCCTCGAAAAGCCGGACTTCCTTTACCATGGTACTTGAGGTGAATAGGGGTATAGCTTGCATTCAAACATTTTTTTTAATCACGTCGACTCATCTTTTCTCGACGTTTTTACAAATACCTCATGCCTTTCAAGAGCAGTAGTATTTCCTTCTCTTTTTAATGCGAAATCATTGATTGTTTTATGGAGCGAAGACGGCGTTGTCTGTAGCAGCGGAACGAGCAATAAATTTCCATTTGCTGCGATGCGTCATGTGCCGATCAAGGTCAAAACGGACGCGCCTCAGAAATAAAACACAAAGAAAAGCACAGCAACGCAGATACTTCGTCACGGAAGCAGGCGGGGACGCCGTGCCTGCGCAGTTAGGGAGCGTGATGCCACCGCCGGAGCGGCGCGAGCAAAAGGAAAACGTGGCGCGCTGCCTCCGGCTTTGACGGTGCGATACAAAGCTGGTGAACGCTCCCGTCAGCACACGCTTAGCGCAAGGTCAGCGCTACGCTTGCACCGCTCCGCTGCGTGTGCAAACACAGGCCTTTATGATTTCGCATTCCTACACGTAAGCAGTCTTATGTGTTTTTGTCGAATTTTTTATTGTGTTGTTAGACGGCTGTGTTCTGAAATTTGGTTTGTGAAATGACTTGTGTACCATCGTTCTAGGCCTCTTGCTGTTTGTGGGCAATGTAAATAAATAAATAAATGTTTTATGAAGGCTAATAATAATTGTTACACACGCGACACATGCGACTTGTGACATCTCGAAATTAGAAAAAAAAAAAAAACAAAAAAAAAAACAATGCCGTCGCTTTCACGTCAAAAAAAGAAAAAAAAAGAAGATGTGAGGATGGAGTTTGTATCGGGGGAAGAGGACGCGGATATTTGACGAGCTCTTTCGCACGCTAATTTGTTTTCGCGATATTTTTTTGTTTTGTTATTGCTACGCGTTTCTGAAGCGTTTTAAACAATTCTAAAAGAATCGGTATTAAGTTGTCGTGACCCTTTAAGTGCGGCATGCATACATAGCATTGAAAAAGGATTTTGACATTAATAAATGGTGATAGACGTGTGTTATACTCTGTATTAAAAGAAATAAAAGCAGGCAAAAAAAAAAAAACAATCGGCACAAAGAAAACAATTTCGGTCTAATTTTTTTCGTATTCAAAGTATTGCGGTCTGTGAAAAGCACGTAAGGAAACTAAACCCAGTTAGCGCTCTCGCTATTACATACGTGTCAGTTCCAGCGCCTCTTATAATAACATTAGTTGTCCGCGAAACTGCACTCGGGTCATTCAGATCTTAGTGCATACTTACGGGAGGTGAAAATAAAGTGGAGCTCTTTCTGGTAAAACGACAAGAGGGAATGGATCGTCTCCAGGGTATCGCGATAGGCTTCCGGCACAAATTGGCTCCTGTACTTTTCCTGAAGGTCTTCGTACTGCATAATGTACAGGCTGTGCCCGAAGGAGGTTTGTTTCATTAGTATAATTATAGTAGTTTATTTTTCATCGACAATACTATACATCATCGATAAATAATACTATACATCATCGATGAAGGAGGCTGAGGGAAAAAGATGTTCATAGACAGCGTGACGAACCCTCGGCCCCCTTATCAAAGACACAAAGAACTACGCGTTTAAAAACGCGAAAGAATGCATATACTGCAAACGTCATAAACACACTCTATCGTCATTTTACATATAAACACTAAACCAAAAACATAAACAGCATAAACACACTCTATCGTTTTAAAAACATACAACGAATTTCAGGAAAAGAAATTGTTTCTATATTTATTTTTTCATCTAGACACTTCAGAACGTTAGGAAGCTTAAACTTTAGCATTTGATATCCGTAGTTATTTTTACATCTAGACACATTCCAGTGTTACGCATGACGAGTGGAATTGACCGGCATATTGTCTCGAGTGACAATTGATGAGGCGACGAAAACTGGCGCAAACTACACGTTTATTAGGGCGAAATTGTGCCCAAGACCAAATAGAAAAAGGCTAGCGTAGCAGGCGTCTATGGCGGCGAAACAACAGGATCAAAAGCTGGGGTCAGACTGACCCCAGCTCACCACGCTGAGCACCTTTTGTGCCCACGTATGTTTCTGGAACATTCGGCATAGAGCTTTCGGCGCTTAGAACATTTGTAACTCAATCACACGAAAGAGAGAGGTTCTCGAACTTACGAGAACTTCAAGTAGAAAGAATAAATAACATTCCGCTCCCAGGAATCGAACCTGGATTCTCCGCGCGACAGCCAAGCAGGGTAATCATTTGACCATGTACGCGTTCACTCGGCGACGCGCGTGGCAATATAACTCTGTAGGGAGGCTAATGAAGCCAACAAGTTTATTTTCTTATTTTTTTCTGAGTTAAAGCTATTACTATGCTTGTAGTTGTATAGCTTTTTTTAATATAAGCTACTTGAAGGCGTTCAAATAGCTGTTCGGTATGATTATAATGTGAAACACCCAAAATTATTCTCAAGTTTTTTTTTTCTGTAATAGATATGGCTTTTCTAAGTTTGTAGAAAGTTTCTAAGTTTGCCCCACACCAGGTGGCAGAATGTTATGAGAGAATAAAAAAAAGAAGATGCAAATTAATATTTCGAGAGTGGTTGGGAGCATAAACTGATGACGCTAATCATTATTAACCCTATAACCTAGAGTTTTCAAAGAACGGACAGTTTCTGTTGGACATAAATTCAATACAATGTCAGTAATGGTTGTTGGAGCTGATGGTGTTGCTGAGGCCCACGGTGTTGTGCGGGTCAATTATCGATGAGGTCTTCGCTACTGGGTCGGAGGAGTGTGGTGGAGGCTTGTTTACAGTACAGTGAGAGCGGTTTATTTACACCAGGGGCCCTAATCTGGACACTTGGCGAAAAAGTCTGCGAGGAATTCGGGCACCATGATTGGCCGGCGCCAATGTGAAGTGTGCCGTTGTCCAATCACGGCCGCCAGATTTGTCGCCGACTTGTTCGCCAAGTGCCCAGATTAGGGGGGCATGGGTCTCAAACTCATTCGGGTGGAGGGGCCTCATAGCTCACCCCCGGGAGATCGAGGGCCAACGGAGGGTTGGGATAACCTTCGACGACAGTCTCTTTCTCAAGCACTGCACTCCAATCTGTATTAGAAATTTCTAGCCGAAAGCTTTCTAGACGATCCAGTGTTATTTTCTGAAACACCACAATTGGCTTGTCCTTCGACTTATTTAAACCGTCTTGGCACCCGGATATAAATATTGGAATGGTAACTAAGATCCCATCTAACCACACCAGCTCTATTTCAAGTCGGAGAAAAATTTGTTTCGAATAAGTCAAGTAACGTTTCTGGATTTGAAGTAATCCGTGTTGGGCTTGCTATCACGTGAACACAACCATTCATTTTGATAACAATTTCCATTTTTATTTGATGGGCTCTGTCACATAACATGTTTATGTTAAAGTCGCCTCCAAAGGTTAGGTGATAGCGATTTGTGTTTGTAGACATAAGAAATTTTCTGAAAATGAAATTAACTTAGAAAGATTACCGACAGGCGGACGGTAGAAGACAGCAAAAATAATACGATTTGCTTGCATTGTTAGAACTTCGTGTTCCCCTTTGCCACAACAGTACTCCGGAATGGGCCCACCATCAACGCAATCTTTACGTTTGCCGTCAAACTATAAAGCAGCCTTCATCTCGGGACCTCGTACGGTCGGAATGGTGGGCGGTGTGTATAGATAATTTAAAAGCGTTTGCATCATCGGAGTACCAAGTCTCAAATAGCACTATTACTTAAAAGAAATCTAATTGCGCGACAAGAATTTCAATACTAACAATCATTTCTTTTTGCAGATTATAGTACTTAAGTGAAAACCTTTCAGCAAGGCTTTGCTCCTGAGATATTTATTTATTTTGAAAGTAAGAAAACTCTTCATAACCATGCTGTGCAATACGTCTAAGTAGAGGCAAGTTTTGTACCAGCTATACAATCCGAGTAAGGTTGGGCTCACTGAGGATTTTAACTGCGGATTCGCAACGACCGTGGTTCGTCTAGAAATCAGCACACTAATCATACTATATATCTGTTACTAAAAATTGCAACGTAAAAGGTGTAATACATCTCCAACGCTTCCTCTAACATTGTCAGAAAAACAAATCGGCGACTGCCCGTTGCGATCTAGATTTTTTAATCGGAGGTGTACTATTTTAGGCGTGACTTTTACATTCTGAAATTTCAAGGCTTGGCGGTTTATGACCCCTTACTGTTGCAATAACAGTCACCGAATTCTAAATTGAACAAAGCAATAAAGCAGAACACCCAATGAGCATACGGCGCTAAATTACCTTTGAATTCTCTGTTCCTCGTCGAAGGTTGAGCCACGGTCCGGTAAAGCGATAACTGCCGTTTTTATGCTTGCACAGGAGCCCTGGGCATAGTGACATAGAGTGCAGATAACGTCGATAAGCATAACCTGAATGATCCACTTCATATCTAACTTCAATAAGGGTCAGTGATCTCAGGATGGGTGCAGTTAGCATGTTGTGGAGAATCCCCTACAGATGAAATATCACGATCTTAATTAATGCTTATGAAAATATTGTTTTGCACGCATGGAAATATGAACAGGTACCATCTTGTTGGTCATTTGTAGGGCGGGGCGTCGATTAAAAAATTTAACCCGATTAATGGCTGCTCTTTAATTAAATTATAAATTGGTTATTTTAATGTGTTTACCTTCATGCGTAATATCTAAAATAGTGTCAAAACTGCACATTTTTCTTTTTATAATTTCGTCCTATGCTATTCATGGTGGCATGTTAAGCTTCATATGAAAGCCGTCCCTGCACCGTCCACAACAAGAAAACACTGGTAAACCATTTCTGGCTATAAAATATGTTTATAATACTCTTTTGATCTAATGATCACTCCAGATTACAATAATAGGACATCTTAAAGAGTTTTACTGCGAAATACAACAGTGCGGCCTCATAAAATACATAAATGGGCGTTAAAGTAAAAAGAAAGAAAGCATTCTCAAATTCTCCGTGATATTTCAAACTAAAAAATCAATCAATTATAAGGCAATAAATTTTGTTTCAACCCGATTAAGGAATTAATTGAGTGATTGGAAGAAGAATCAATGAGCTGCCTAGCGCTAGTTATTTGCGATTTGCGACTTGGGGTCCGTGCGCGCCGACAAATAGATGACAAGCTCCTGTCGGGCTACCATCGTTGGGCAGTGCCCATCTTTTTTTCGGTGAGGGATAGATATTTAGGACTGACACGTTAGATAAGCCAAATTCATTTGAATCTATTGTGGCGTCTTTTTAAAGACAACTCAATAACAACAAATTGCCTTAACTAAGATCAGAAAAAAAAAAACTAATGTCAAGGGCAGTAAGACAGTTGCTCTTTGGGCGATCGGCGACTCACGGAAGATAATAAGAGAAGTTAGAGGGCAGAGTGAAAGGGGCGGGGGATCGGTTGGCCAGCGCTTCGCATCGGAGCCGCCAAGGCTGCGAAATGCCTGGTGTGCTTTGAAAATGATTAAATTGATCTGATATGCGCTGCCTTATGGCAACAGCAAGCTTGCACCATTGCCTGTTTTGTTAATTTTTAAATGTATATTATTATTTTTTTTTTTGGGGGGGGGGGGGGGGGCGTGAAAGGGAAGGCTTACTCAGTGCAAGCATTTTAAGTAAACCTGTTCACCTGCTCTGATGCCTCCTTTGGGTACGTCTTGTTGATCTGTCACGAGATGAGGGGCTGACGCCTGCAGACGGCAGCGTCCGAGGGGGTTTTCTTACATAAAAGCGCCTCTTCTTAAGGTAAACCTGGGTCTGCGTCCAGATAAACGTTTGAAATAAGGTGCACGTAGTTGTATGCTTTTGGCTATTATTATGTATCCTAATTTGGCTATTTTTGGGCTATAACTTTTATCTCACCGAAATTTGCTGGGTCAAATATGCGTGTGACTGGCAACCCTACTGATGTATCTTAACAGGCGTTGAACTCGGGTAATACATTTCAGTGCGAACAAGCGCTATCATTTTTTTGCACTGTGAAAATAAGGACAACCCAGATAGCTGCATAAACGAACAGCATGTAATTTTTTTTTTATTTTGCCATTTCGTTTTTTTTTGTTCTGGAACAAGGGTCATAATTAGGGTTTCGTGTTTTGAACTTATTTTTTGTCCAACTCAAAAAGTGTTTTACAGTACATTTTCTTCTAAATTAGGAGTTTATTGGAAATTACTTTTGTTAGATACTAATTTTTTTTCCTTAAATTCAGAGTTTAATATCGCTGTGTTTGCAGCTTTTTAAATTTCCAAATAAAAATTAATAATATACGGACACTATACATTTGTGAGAATTACACTAAGTCCATGAAAACCCACCTGTACCAAATGGCATTCCTTCAGCTAGATTTGGCGTTGGCTCCCTTGCCTTTGGCGAAACGAATTTCCCCACGACGAAGCTTGCATACAAGTGTTCCTTCACTAAACGTAGATGCTTTAAAATCCCTAAACTCCTGAACGAAGTTGTTGTGAGGCTCGTTTTCTTCCCTTTCATTTCCACCCTCTCCTCCCTGTGACTACACTGCGTGCAGTGCTGAAGGAAGAAACAGAAGCTTCAGATGACCCCGCTTCTAGGAAATCAAGGAGTTGATAGCTTGCGCTGTTTTAAGAAACAACAACACAACCCTTCATCTCTCAAGAAGCAAATAGAGTGTGGTCTGAATTGGAAATCCGAACAGGGACTTTTGTGGTGGCCTAAAGTAAAACGAACCTTTGTCTTGAGCGAACTTTGACCAGATAAATATTTGACAAGATACTGGTGTGGCCTCTCCTCATAACCCCTGCCCTTCTTCACTGACCAAACTTAGAGAATTCATAAAATACTATATTGTTTTCTTTTTTTCCCGTCGTAATTTTGGACTCAGAGTTTTTAAAAAAAAATCCTAAATGACAAAAAAAAAAAAAAAACTTACCGGCGAGTGCTTTTCAAATTCCCAAAACAAGGAACTCTGGCAAGATGAACAGGAGGTGGCGTCATAATTTTTCATACATGGAACGAACTTAAAACGGAATAAGACGTGGCCTGGAAGTGCGTCGTAATTTTTGTTTTACCAATATGAGAATTCATTTAATGGACGCCGCTACGAATATTTTAGATCTAGCAACCGCGTTCGCAGGGAAATGTCATGGCAACACAGTTGTTCGCCTCAAATGTCGTGGCGGCGTTCACTGTCTTTTGAAAAGCCGTCGAAGAAGTGAGGTTCGGAACTCAACACTTGCTTGGTCAGCAAAACGCCGGCATCCGATGTACGCTTTATACTTCTTTTCGTTTCCAGACGCGGCCGACGCTACGAGCTGATGGGACCAATCAGACAGCATCAAAAGCACGCCCTCATGGTTTTCGTCATGTTTTAGGGCGTGTTCTGTCATCGCTGAAACAATCATAAACGGAAAGTGTGCCATCTCATTATTTATCCACTATATAGCAGGCGATATTACAATTCAAGCTCTTCTGTTCGTTAATCTGCAGCGTGCTCTCACATCCCTCCTTTTTTTAGTTGAGAGTACGAGCCCGCTTGTGCAGCACGTGCGTGTATTCTGCAGCAGGTGCGTGTACAAATAAATGAGGCACTTCAACTTAGGCATGTAAAAAAAATCTGCTGAATGCCCAGCCATGTGGGTATTCCTGGTAATGAGAGCCAGATCAACTTGCTACCTTTTCGAGGGAATGTATTCAAACGTCTCTCGGCGTGCGCCACCAGAATCTCAAATCAATTTTCAGAAAGTCAGTTATATACTCCTGGCAGTTGGACTGGTACATGTTAACCGATTATAAACTTCGCGCCATCAAACTGTCTTGGGGGTGTGGGAGAGATCCTCTCATAGACACGTCGTTTTCAGGTCCTCCTTTCTCGTTTACAAATTGCACATTCCCATCTGATTCATTTGTACTTGCACTGTGGTGACGATGCGAAACTCTGTGAAAACTGTGGGCAAGTGATGATTGTCCTGCATATATTATGACAGTGTAGACATCTAGATGCTCAGCGGCGATCCTGTTTCCAGGAAATTTTGAAAGATCACCTTGCATTCCATTCATACTTTATACTTGCTGACCAACCTATAGTACCATTATAGCGTGTTCGTGACTTTTTAAACAAAGTTGGCTATTAACACCAGTTGTAGCTTTTAACTACTCCTCAATACCCATTAGCGCTTCTTGAGAAACTTGCGTGTGGCATAGTACGATCCTAGTTGCCCCTGTGCCACTAAACTTTGAATCACAACCCTACGTAAAGAGAAAGCGTGCTTACGGGAATCCTTCAATGGTAGCCAAAACCTCGCCATGAAAAGACCGGTCTATCGCATCTGGAGCCTTCCGGATCCATTTCTCCACCGCGAGTCTGTTCTGGGGCACAAACTCGCCGAGCACAACCTTGTCTATCTTTTTTGTGGCTGGGAGGACGTACTGTGGGTCCACAACCAACTTCCAGAAGCTTTCGTCCATGGAATGATTCTTCAGTACATCACGAGACAAAAGAAAAAATGGCAACTCATCAGAACAAATGTGAAAAGAGCACCAACGAGCGAAAAGCCCAATCGGTGAAACCTTGAACGGTATGCACACACATGCGCTGACCAACCACTGCATTGTCGAGGTTGGCCACTGTTAAAGAGGGTCAACCTTTACGGTGCAGAGGAGGATCGTAGGGGGCCAAGCAGGTTTTTATGAGCTTATAAACTTAATAAGAATATATATTTTTTAGGATGGCAAGGTGCTGGAGGAGAAGACCTTTCAGCAATAACACCAGCAGTTTTAAATTAAAGCCTGCATATACAGCGTGAGTGCGTCACTCACGCTGTATATGCAGCGTTCCCTCAATATTCAAAAAAAAAAATTATCCGGCACCAAAAAGAAGAAAAACGAAGAAAACTTCTCCGAGCCGTTACAGACTTCTCAATCGCCCCAATTCCCCCTGCGCCCTCAGTACAGCCGCCAAACGACACCGCAGTAAGAAACACAGCAACAGAAATTAGAGGCTCAGTGCTTCTGCAATGATTCACAATGTTGCAATTAGACATCAATTCTATAAGTACATGGTGTGTACATAATAAGCTTAAAGGGACCATGAAATGACCTTTTTACTTTTTCCAGATAACTTTTACATTAAACCGTCAATGTTCACTGAATGCCGAACAGGCATCCGTTTTCGTCTCGGTTTATTAACTTTTACACAAAAAATTATTGAAATATCGACTTTTTCATTCTCTCCAACTGACCGCAAAAGAAGCCGTGACGTAGACCGTTTCCGGAACCGGAAGTTCTCTCGGCAGTAGGAGAATGGGAGTGTTAGCGGCAACGAGTTGGGGTGCGCCGGTAGGTTTTACTGCGCTGAT